GATTTCTTGATACATTTGACAGTCAACTTGCAAGGTTCCTTCACGCCTGGAGTCTGGAGGGTCGGTGGGCTCGGCCGGGCCTGGAGCCCTGAGGGCACTGCCCTGCTCCCCGGGCCTGGAGCCCTGAGGGCACTGCCCTGCTCCGGAGAGAAGGCAGGCAAACACCCCGGGAGACAGACAGCATGGGAACAGCCATCTGAAGAGTACCTGTAGCTTGCGGCGGGGAGATGATTGGCCCTTCTTGGAGGAGACGCAGGGAGGTAGTATCCCTGGAGAGGCCTCTCTGGACACACAGGAGACGGCTGGCGCCATTTCTCTCCCCGCCCCCCAGCGGAAACACGGATGCACCAGCAGGAGGCAGCAGTGGGCCTAAGCAGGCTGCCTCACCGGCTCCCCGCGAACCCCAGGTCCCTGCAGTCTGGTGAGGCTGTCTTCCGAGGTCAAGCTCGCCTCAGTCCCAGCGCAGTGACACCCTCCCCCAGAACCCCAGCGCAGGCCCCTGCCCACATCACGTCCCTAAATCCCGGAGTTTGGACAGTCAGCAGGCTTGGCTGGGATGGAAGCCGCAGGGCCCTGCGCCGCTCCGGGTGAGGAGGCAGGCCCACAAGCCAGGGGCAGATAGCCTGGGAACAGCGATCTGGAAAAGGCCTGGGACTCACGTGCAGGGGAGGGGATTTGTTCTTCTCAGAGTGCTTTCCCGAGAGGCAGGAAAAGAATTATTATTCCTATTTCGTGGAGGAGAAAACTGAGGCTGCCCAAAAAGGTTAAGCATATTTCCCAAGGGCATCCAGTTAATCAGTGGGAAGTCAGAATTTAAACGCTGGTTCAAACCTGAATAAATCCCATGCCTTTGCCCACACTGATACGATGTTTGTGTGTCAATGCAAGGCTTAAGGTGTTTTTTTTTTTTTGTTGTTGTTTTAATTTTAATGGTGGTAGAATGCAAAGGCATAAAATTCACCATCTTAGCCATTTTGAAGTGCATAGTTCAATAGTGCTAATTATATTCACATTGTTATACAACCAACCTCCAGAACTCTTTTCATTTTGCAAAACCGAAAGTGTATACTCATTAAAAAACAACTTCCCGTTCTCCCCTCCCCTAAGCCCATGGCAAACTCTATTCCACTTCTGTATCTATGAATGTGACGACTCTAGGTACTGCATATAATTGAAATTAAACAGTATTTGTCTTTCCGTGACTGGCTTTCATTTAGTATAATGTCCTCAAGGTTCATCCATCTTGCAGCATGTGTCACATTTCTTTCCTTTTTAAAGGCGAATAATATTCCGTTGTATGGATAAACCACATTTTATTTATCTATTTACCTGTCAGTAGACACTTGGGTTGCTTCTACCTTTTGGCTATTGTGAATAATGCTACTATGAACACGAGTGTATAAATATCTCTTTGAGAACCTGCTTTCACTTCTTTTGAGGGTATAGCCAGAAGTAAAATTGCAGATTTGCTGGATCATATGGTAATTCTATTTTTAATTTTTTAAGCAACCACCATACTTTTTTCCATAGCGACAGTACCACTTTACATTCTCACCAACAGTGTATAAGGGTTCCAGTTTCTCTAGACCCTTGTCAACACTTTTTTTTTTTTTTTTGCAGTAACTGTTCTAATAAGTGTGTGGTAGCATCTCATTGTGGTTTTGATTTGCATTTCCCTAAAGATTAGTAATGTTGAGCATCGTTTCACGTTCTTATTGGCCATTTGTAGATCCTCTTTGGAGAAATGTCTGTTCAGGTCCTTTGCCCATTTTTTAATTAGATTTGGGTTTTATTGCTGTTGTTATCTATGCAAGACTTTTAACACCCTTTGATCCCCTAAAGTTTTTGTTCTTTGGTTTTTGAGGTAAGTTCCCTGCCAGCTTCTCTGTATTTTTGACCAGTTCTTTCTCCCCAGCTCCTGAAATGTAGAGACATTAACCAAAGGTCAAGAGGCATCTGAATTTCTTTAAATAATTACCATAAGAAACTCAGAAGTGAATAATTATTTACTGAGTAACTACTATGTGCACAGTTAATAAAAATGATAGTAACAATTATCTCACTTTTGAGTGATTCCTTGTGCCAGGCATTTTATGTCCATTACTCATCTAATCTCATAAACCTCTGCGGTAGGTATTATTATGAACCCCATAATACAACTATGAAAATTAAGCCACGGAAGGTTTAGGCAATTTGCCCAAGACCTGCAGTAAACCATGGGAGTAGCTAAGAAGGGTCCCTCTGCAAGAAAACCATGTCCAAAGGAGAAGACAAGACTAGCACACTAGAGAAAATTTAGAATACTACAGCATTCATAAAAACTCTGATTACTGTGTCAACACAACTACTATATATATGGGTTTAATTTTTTACTTTTATAAACCATCTTTAGGCCCTCCCTGTACTGCCCTGTAAACAGGATAAGACACTATGAAAGGGGAAGTCATGATCACTACCCTAAAGGACCAACTACTCAGCAATCATGTAAATATTCCTCTGTTCAAAGTTCTGGACTAGCTGAACAGAGGAATCTGGGTTAAAGGATCCAGTATTTCCTTGTCTTTAAGGAACTTACAGTCTTCAGGGAAGACATGAACATGGGAAATGATCAGAGGAAGAAAAAGGTCATCTACATCAACGACCCATTTTAAAGTATACAATTCAGTGGTATTTAGTACGTTCACCATGTTGTACAACCATCACCACGATCTAGTTTCAGAACTTTTTTTTTTTAGAGAGGGAGGAGGAGCAGAAGGAAGGGGAGAGAGGAATCTTAAACAGTTTCCATGCCCAGTGTGGAACCCAATGTGGGGCTCCGTCTCACAACCCTGAGATCATGACCTGAGCCGGAATCAAGAGTTGGACACTTAACTGACTGAGCCACCCAGGCGCCCCCAGAGCTTTTTCATCACCCCAAATGGAAACTTCATACACATTAAGCAGTCATCATTTCTCATACCCTCTTCCTTCTCAGCCCCTGGCAACCACAATCTGCTTTCTGTCTCTCTGAATTTACCTATTTTAGCTATTTAAATGGAATCATACAATTAGTGATCTTTTGTGTCTGGCTTCTCACTTTGCGTAATGTTTTCAAGGTTCATTCCCATTGCAGCACGTATCAGTACTTCCTTCCTTTTTATGGCTGAACAGTATTCCATGGCATGAATACACAACAGTTTATCCATTCATCCATCAATGGGTTGTTTCCACTTTTTGCTATCATAAATAGTGCTGTTGAGAACATATGTGTACAAGTATTTTCTTGAACATCCAGTTTCAATTCTTTTTGGTTTATACCTAGAAGTGAAATTACTAGACCATATCATAATTTTATGTTTAACTTTTTTGAAGAACCACCAACTGTTTGCCACAGAACTTGAAACATTTTACATTCCCACCAACAATGTGTAGAAGTTCCAATGTCTCTGCATTCATCAACACTTATTTTTTCCCATTACTAGATTCTAACCATCTTAGTGAGTATGAAGTGGTATGTCATTGTGGTTTTGGTGTGCATTTCCCTGATGACTAATGATACTGAACATCATTTTATATTATTGTTGTCCCTTTGTGTATCTTCTTTGCAAAAAATTTCTGTTCAATCCTTTGCCCCTTTTTATTTAGGTTTTTTGCCTTTTTATTATTGGGTTATAAGAGTTCTTTATATATTCTGCATACTGAACCCTTATTAGATATATGATTTGCAAATATTTTCTTCTGGTCTGTAGATTGCCTTTTCACTTTCTTGATGGTGTCCTTTAGTGCACAAAAGTTTTAATTTTGATGAAGTTCAATTTATCTAGTTTTTTCTTTTGTTACTTATGCTTTTAGTGTTTTACCTAAGAAATCACTGGCAAATCTAATGTCCTTCAAGATTTATTTCTGTTTTTCTCTAAGAGTTTTTTAGATTTAGCTTTTATATTTAGACCTTTGATCCATTTTGGATTTTTTTTCTATGTGATGTGAGCTTGGGATCCAAATTCCTTCTTTTGCAATGTGAATATCCAGTTTTCCCAGCACCATTTTGTTGAAGATCCTGTTCTTTCCTCATTAAATAGTCGTAATACCCTTGTCAAAAATCAAGTGACAATAGATGTATAGGCTTATTTCTGGGTTCTCAATTCTATTCTATTGGTCAATGACCGGTATCCCATGGTTTTGATAACTGTAGTTTGTAGTATTTTTTGAAATCAAGAATGTGAGCCTTCCAACTTTGCTCTTATTTTTCAAGATTGTTTTGGCAATTCGAAGTCACTTGCAATTTCATATGAATATTAGCATCGGCTTTTCCCCTAGCCATGTTGGGCTATCCCTATTCCCTTTTCATTCAGGAACCTTCTGCAGGTTTATTTTGTGAGATCACGCTTTGGGTTAGGTTTTTATTCAAAATGTGTGCAAGCAAAATTGATTTTTAAAAATTGCTTTTAGGGGCACCTGGGTGGCTCAGATGGTTAAGCGTCTGCCTTCGGCTCAGGTCATGATCCCAGGGTCCCCAGATCCAGCCCCGAGTCCGGCTCCTGGCTCAGCGGGGAGCCTGCTTCTCCCCCTCCCTCTGCCTCTCCCCCTGCTCATGAGCTCTCTCTCTCTCTCTCTTTCTCTGTATCTCTGTGTCTCAAATGAATAAATAAAATCTTTTAAAAAAATAAATAAATAAAAATTGCTTTTATTTCCCATAACTTAAAAATGAACAGTAGTCTCATACAACACATAATGCTAAACACATTGGTTTGTGAACAATAAATATTTAAAAAGTATGAACAGCACAAATATTTCAAATAATTTAAATAAATAAGTACAAAAGATTTTAAGCTATTGCAGATGAATTGTGCATTTCTCTGTCCTAAACAACTTACAGCATTTAACGTAACTTTATAATAATCCCATACATTTGCTATTATTTATTTTTCTTCTGGCATAAAGATAGAGATGAAGATTGCACTTTGAGTCCTAGAAAATAGCCGTTTAGTTGGCCAGATGAGTTTTCAGACTCAACATCTTTTTTATTTCCTGAGTTTAGCTGTGAGCTCATTGATGAAGAACAAGCACCTTCTGATTTCCACCCTGACAACCTCCCAGGCACAGTGGCTGTATACTTTCTTTTCAAGATACAGAATGATTCCATGGAAGTATCTCTTCACAGCCAGTCTGGAGTTCTCACTTAATAGTTCCACATTCTTTTCTTCCTCCAAACATGTCTCCAGATCATCCACCTGCTGATGAAGTCCAGCGAGGAATTTGTCCAGTAGGGTCTCATCCCAAGCCACAAGAGAGTCACTTTTGCTGAAGAGGTGGAAGATCTGCTGGAGCATCTCATGCATGACAAGTGTGGCTTCTGTCTTCTCAAACTTGTTCCCATCCACAAGCATCTGAGGAAAGCTGAAGTCAGTCCTATCCTTCAGACAGGACAGAATGGAGATTTTCTCCATTTGACTCAACAGTGTGAAGGTTTCTGGATTGCCATGGCTAGAATGCAGGGCGCAGTCCTGAGAGCAGGCAGGGTTGGAGCACAGCATCACCAGGGCCAGCAGCACAGAGACTGAGAGAGCCATTAGGCAGCTGGGGGGGATTCTGCAGGACTGCCTGAAGAGGAAGTCTCAGTAGGTTCTGAGAACTTTGGGTGATGAGTGCCTTTTAAATAGTGAATATAGAAACTTCCATTTTCTGGGTTTTTCCACTGTCACGTGTTCCTTTCCCTTTCTACTTTTTCTTTTTTTTTTTTTTACAAAGTCAATTAAAAATGCACATTTATTAACATGAGCACCTAGATGGGGGACTCGAACCACGTGTGCCAATATAGTATTTACACAGCATATTTTTTCATATTTTTCACACCTCCCAGGTTGTTCTTGGGAAGAAAAGTCTAGACAAAGTCAGAAAAGGGAGAAATACTTATGCAAGAAATGGTGGTCTTTCCAGGTCAGCAGGAAATATGAAAAAACTTATAAAACAGGAGATTTAAGTTTTTCTTATTTTTTTCCTTATTTACACCTTTCCCCCTTTAAAAAGTTTCCATTGTATATGTACCTCAAAGGTAGCACTTGAGTTGGTTACTGAAGATATTGTTTGGAAAACAATTTTGCAGATCATTTGTCAAAAATAAATTATGGTCTGCCAAGCACTTTGCTAGGTGCTGGTTTCCCTAAAAGGTTCAAGATTGCCTATGTGTGATTCTCTTGGTTCTCTACCAAGTACAACCTTTCACAGTAAAAATTTTGCCTTAGTCATTGAATGGTAATCCAGATAATCTCAAATCCTTAGGTATTCCACTGACAAGTGATATCCTACCTATCAGGGCTAATGTGGCTGCAATAGTATTCAAAGCTTACCTTGATACGTCTTCATGGAAACTGTAACACACAGATTATTTTAATATTAATGGCAGCAATCTTCAAATTATATGTAGGCTCTCAGCAAAGTGTTTTACAAACAGTATTTCATTTAAACTTCATAACTTCCCTATGAGGTAATTACTGTAATTATATTTTGCAAATAAGGAAACCAAAATTTCAGAGAGGTTACTTAACTTGCTAAAAGCCACAATTTATTATATACGTGATACTTCACTGCTATACTGTTCTGCCTCCATATTACTTCATAATCTTAAGCATTCTCCTTTGACTACATTGTTTGTTTGTAATTAAGTAATCAATTTAATTATTTGTTTAATATCTGATTTCCCTGATAAACTGTAATCTCCCTGAGGGCAGTAATGTGTATCTTGAGTGTCTGTCATAGAGGAGGCACGCAGAGAGCTTTCTGACCCATAGCAAGTACAAAAGGGACGACATTTTCCAAAAAGCGAGGCTTAAAATTTGGGGACTGTGTCAGAAGATGATAGTCTTCTGAAAGCAGGGATAGTAAGAATAACATCTATTCTGCAGTATTGTTTTCGAAACAATATCTTTAGTGAGTTTAAGACCAACTCAAGCGATACCTATTTAAAATGGATCCTTTAACCTCCAGGATAATTTCTGAAAATATTTCAGATGGGAACAGGGGGTTTCAAAGATCCAGTAGAGATCAACAAAACACATCATTTGGAAGACAGGACTGGAACTTGGCAAGTGAAAAGGGAGCCGTATCCTGTAAAGTCTCTGAAATAACCGAATGGTGCTTTTTAAAAAAGATTTATTTATTTATTTGAGAGAGAGAGAGAGAGAGCACGAGCAGTGGGGAGGGGCAGAGTGAGAGGGAGAGAGAAACTCAAGCAGACTCTGCTCTGAGCAGGGACCCTGATGCAGGGCTAGATCCCACGACCAACCTGACCGGGAGATCATGACCCGAGCCAAAACCAGGAGTTGGACACTTAACTGACTGCGTCCCCCAGGTGCCCCCAAATGTTGCTTTTTGGTTACGAAGAGTGGCAATTAGAGGGTAAGAACTTGCTAAGTGTTAATCTAAGATAGGAAGAACATCATCAGAGGGGAAGGCCCAATCTAGTGGCTAGGCCAGTAGACTCTGGGGCCAAACTGCGGGGATTCATGTCATAGCTCCAGCCTCTGCGTGGGTGTGTGACCTTGGGCTCCTCATTTTTCTCCTCTGTCATACAGAAATGATAACCACATCTATTTCACTGGGTTGTTGTGAAGATAGGATGATGTCATGTACCTGTAACAATGCCTGGGCAAAATAAGCACTCAACATCTGTTAGCCATGGCCACAACAGAGAAAGCGAACCCATCTGACTGTGGGAACTGGGTGGAAGTTTCCCTGAAGTGATCTGCTTCCCTTCCCTTCCTTCTCAGCTCACTAATAAACATTTTTATTTCTAATCTCATCTCTTATGTGAACACGAGCATGTGTTTATGTGACAGGGAGTGCTCCATCCAAATGACTAACATCTTTGAGCTTCCGGGTAATAGCTGACCTCGCACACATTAATAAAATGGCCATCCCATCTATAACCCAGTCTCTCTCTTTTTTTTTAAAGATTTTTATTTATTTATTTGAGAGAGAGAGAATGAGAGACAGAGAGCACGAGAGGGAAGAGGGTCAGAGGGAGAAGCAGACTCCCTGCTGAGAGGGGAGCCCGACGTGGGACTCGATCCCGGGACTCCAGGATCATGACCTGAGCCGAAGGCAGTCGCTTAACCAACTGAGCCACCCAGGCGCCCTAACCCAGTCTCTTTTGAGTATGAGTAAATACTCAGAATATGATCTTCTCTGAAAAAAAAGTAAACAGACAAATATCTAGATAGATGGGTTTTCTGATTCAGCAAAGCTGAAAACTAGCCAGCCCTTTAGGTTAATAGCCTGCATTAAAGGGCCGGCTGCCCTCCCTGGGGACTTGTCTCACACAGGCTGGTTTGAATCTGCCACTCAACAGAGCTCATAATCCCTTGTGTAGTTTAAGTAACATTTCGTCAGTTGGACAGAGAAGATGACACTTGTTTTCCTTTCGTTTTCAGCATCTACTTCCCATTTGCCTTTTGTGCATTACGTTTTTATAATTGCTTCCTTTTACTCTCTAGGAATGTGAAAAAGAGAGAGGCAAGTTCTGATGTCTTGAAAATCATACAGGAAATGTTATTTCTTCTTTTCTCTTACGTTTTCCCTTCCCTGTTTTGCCACAAACCTCAAAGTGAAAATAGAAAAGATTGTGGGGAGCGTTAGGACCACTTTTACAAAAAGAAAAGACAAATACAAAAGAAAAGACAACAATTTTATAATTATATAAAAATAGCAAAGAAAAGCAAGGGCGGTTTAACCATTATGTTGCCAGAGCTAAGACAATGGTCTGGGCTAACACAAAGAGGCTGCCACAAAGCAGCAAACACACATTCTAACAACTTGAACACCCCTACAGTAGTAGAGGTTGCATTTTACTCTTCTTGTGGGCAGGATTAGAGGTTTAATCATCTTGGTATAGCCTGAGCTCAGCGTAAGAATTGGCACATAGTAAATTAAATGTTCAGTAATTTTCTCAATTAAGCAGAGTAAATAAAACCAAATTTGACAACTTAAATGTTTTGCAGCAGAGAATAAGGTGAGATCCATGTATATACAAATCCGGTTATCTTTCACACCTGATCAACACTTCCAAGACAGCCATCTGAAAGGGGAATAAAGAAGATTTTATTTTTTTAAAGATTGTATTTATTTATTTGAGAAAGAGAGAGAAGAGGAGAAGAGAGAGAGCACGAGTAGGGAGGAGGGGCAGAGGGAGAGGGAGAAGCAGACTCCCTGCTGAGCAGGGAGCCTGATGCAGGACTTAATCCCAGGACCCCAAGATCATGACCCGAGCCGAAGGCAGACGCTTAACTGACTGAGCCACCCAGGCACCCAAACTAAAGAAGATTTTAAAAGGAAGCCTAGCAAAGCTTCCTTAAAGGTTGTTCTTAACATGAGGAAAAAAGATCCAGATAGTTCTATTATTAGTTCAAAGTTGGTTTTTGTTAAGATGATAAGCATTCCATTGAATTAGGGCTTCTAATTTTTTAGTGAGTGAATTTTACTTCAATTGTAGGAATACAGAAAGAGTTGAAACTTATGACAATTTTCCAGATCTTTGATGAGAAAGTAAAACCCAAAATGGGGAAGGACAAAGTTCTGAGGAAAATTCAGAAAATGACAACTTTTCACTCAATACCTGAGAGACCCATAGTCAGAAAATTTTCAGAGAAGCTGAACAAAAGCTCACCATCTGGGGCGCCTGGGTGGCTCAGTCATTAAGCATCTGCCTTCAGCTCAGGTCATGATCCCAGGGTCCTGGAATGGAGCCCCACATTGGGCTTCCTGCTCTGCGGGAAGCCTGCTTCTCCCTCTCCCACTCCCCCTGTGTGTGTTCCCTCTCTCACTGTGTCTCTCTCTGTAAAATAAATAAATAAAATCTTAAAAAAAAAAAAAGCTCACCATCTCCACCAGAAGGACTTCTTGAAACTTACTGATGGCTTACCAAGTACTTCAGTACTTTCTTCACTGATGGCACTGGTGATCATTTCTCAACCCAAGATCTCCATTAGCTGTGACCTGTCTCAGAGCTTTAATAAAAATGCTGGGTTTTGACTTATTAAATTTAAGATATTTCTCTTTTTTTTTTATAGACGTTCTTCAAAATCCTAATTCTGTAAACTAGGTATAAAAATATGTGGTGCACTTCATTCGTTCATTTATTGGCCTTGGGGATAGAGTCTTGAGTACGAGATGTGTAGTTTCACTGGAGTATGTTGGAGCAAAAGACCTAGTCATTAAAGAAGGAGTTATAATGTAATTAGGTATTTATATTTGGGATCTGGGCTACATGGAAGTAAAAGATGCTATGGCAGTGAGTTTCATGGGTGGCTCATTTAGAGTACTTTCAGTTTTCCCCAGGGAAGTACTATGAATTAGGAGACTGGAAAAATGAGTAGGGGTTTGTTAAGTATCCCATGGAGGGCAAAATTTCCCAGGGGAAAAAGCAACTGCATAGGGAAGGGGTAGCCCTGTAGCAGGAAAGGGCCTGGTACATTTGAAAGACTGAAAAAGACCAGAGGAGGTGCACTGTATTGACAGATGAAAAGTATGCCCTACAATGATGCTGGAGAAACTGAAAGAAGTTCAACAAATAGAC